ATATAGTGCATAAAACTTAAGCTGAGAAGTCTGTGCACTACATATAGGGCATGCGGAAATTCAGCCTGTAATACACTTTCAAGAACCCTGGAGGTAGTTACACTATCACAAGTAGCTATTTGCATAATCTTTATCTATTTAATCTAAAAAAAGCGTGGACGTAGACGGTCACTTGACCAAATCACAGTGGACAGCTAACGTGTTAATAAATATAGGTACATACATTTTCTGTTGTATTTTCACTATCCAGTCCTGTATTTGGAGTATCTTGACTAAGAATAAACGACCATTTTGTTTGTTTGCCGCCAGCACTACCACTTTTATTCTTTTTTCTTTCCTCATTCTTCACATAAGTTCGCAGGCTTCGGAATTTCTTGTAAGCGTCATCACTTGATATATCAAACTTAGTAGCAACAATAGACCATTCATCTTTTTTTGCATTTCTGTCTTTATACATTCCTGTTTCCACATTCCATATTTCAGGATGTAATTGCACTTCATTAATAAAGTCAAGAGTCTTCTCATTAGACCAAATATTAGTCATTTTAATTTATTTTCTAAACAACACAATAATGACAGCTGCTGACAGCACAGAATATCTTCACACCACAGATTTATACACGATGGACGTCGCAGCACTCGCAGCACACTTCACGTCGCGCAGAAAGTGAAACGCAAAGTACTTCACTTCGCAGGGAGAAAGGGACGCGCATATACAGCAAAACAGAACAACAATATAGATGGCCCAGATATATTGCAGTATTTTCGATTGCGAGGCGATCGTTCGGCCACACGCCGGCTACACATAAAAACATTTTGACATACCAAAAAATATGTGGCTATAATGCCGGGCCATCCTTGAAATATTGCATAGTGTGGCTGGTATTGCTAGCAATGTTGCCGGCCACAGTATTGCAGCCATAAATTGTCGTAAAATATAGCCTGTTTAGACGCCCCTTTATATTTGCACTTGTTTTAAACTTGAGTTGCAAAAATGTAAAAAAATTAATGATCGATACACACTTTATGTTCCAAGGAAACGCGTTGAGAGGACCTAAGATTTGTCAAACTCCTTAGCTCTTTACATAAAAACTTGAACACTTTCTTGGAAAAGCGATATCTATCTGAATTGCTTCTCCGTGAGGTGTAACAAGGGATTTAAAGAGCACGAGCTCTCATCATCAACATCATCATCATCATTACAGCCCTTCACAAGTCCACTGCTGAACATAGGCCTCCCCCAAGTAATGCCACAAAGCACGGTCCTGAGCCACCTGCATCCATCGACTTCCTGCATGTCTTACCAGGTCGTCACTCCATCTAGTGGGGGGTCGCTCTACACTACGCCTACCGGTACGGGGCTGCCACTCGAGAACCTTTCTTCCCATCGGTTATCGGTTTTTCGAGCTATGTGGCCGGCCCATTGCCACTTCAGCTTATTAATCCGTTGGGCTATGTCGGTCACTCTGGTTTTACTGCGGATATCCTCATTTCTGAGTCTATAACGAAGAGAAACTCCGAGCATAGCCCTCTCCATAGCTCGCTGAGCGACCTTGAGCGTTCTCATACGGCCAGCAGTGAAGGACCACGTCTCTGATCCGTAAGTCATCACTGGCAACACGCACTGGTTGTACACTTTAGTTTTCAGAGATTGAGGTATACCTGACGAGAAGATGAGCTCTATATCACTTTTATTTTCTAATTTACAAGTTAACTTAACTACTGTGACAATGTGAGTACACAGGCATACTAGACTACTTACAAACTAACTTAATTACTACTGCCTTTCTTAACAATTAAACCTAGGTTTATATATTATGTTGAAACGTGCTGGTTTTTGCTTAGAAGGCGAAGTTCCTGATGGCACTGTGTTGATTATTCTTAAGTCTCACGCTGTTATGTGCTTAGACCATAGTATAAAGAGGCCAAGTAGGTTATCTCCGGCCCAATCCGCGATATAATTGCCTACTGTCTCAGGGTTGTCACTGTCACAAAATCATTAGTTTAAAGCCCGGCCCTTGCCAAAGATAATACATCTCTGTATAACTAATTCAGTGATCATTAGTCGATAAAGTTCAACAATGGTTTTCCTAACAAATACAGAAATGTATTAAGATTCAGAGCAGTATTATTTTATTATTATATTAGCAATACGTTCTCCTGCGATTATCACACATTTTTCATTCATTTAGCGGTGCCGAAAAGCCGTGACGCGCGAACCTCGTGCGGTGTTAGCCCCGACTGGCGCGCTGAGAAACACTTTGACACGAGATTGTGTTTAAGTGTGCGTGCGGCGCCTCATAGATACTATGGCGCACACATACTGGCCGTGCGCAGTGCGTTTGTATGTAGATAACGTACTTCCCCTCTCTTTATACTATGCTTAGACTGCGATGCTATAGTGTACGTGACTTCCTCCTTGCTTGCAATTAGCGGTGCCGAAAAGCCGAGACGCGCGAACCTCGTGCGGTGTTAGCCCTGACTGGTGCGCTGAGAAACACTTTGACACGAGATTGTGTTTAAGTGTGCGTGCGGCGCCTCATAGATACTATGGCGCACACATACTAGCCGTGCGCAGTGCGTTTGTATGAAGGTAACGTACTTCCCCTCTCTTTATACTATGCTTAGACTGCGATGCTATAGTGTATCTGACTTCCTCCTTGCTTGCAATTAGCGGTGCCGAAAAGCCGTGACGCGCGAACCTCGTGCGGTGTTGGCCCCGACTGGCGCGCTGAGAAACACTTTGACACGAGATTGTGTTTAAGTGTGCGTGCGGCGCCTCATTTTTTTTTCAAATTGCTCTTTCCTTTTTCTCCTATATACTTTTTCTTAGTATTTCCCATTACCACAAACAAATTATTTAAGAATCTACTTATACTGATAATAATTTCCTATTATAATAATAAACCTATTCTGCAACTATAACTATTTATAATAATAAAAGTATATCTATAAGAATAGAGAGTACAAGCGAACGACTTGCGTGGGTCCACCTATGTAGCGTCCTATCACCGGACTGGCCCGCGTAAGTATATAATTTCTATAAAACTTTAAAACGCCGTCATAAGGTCTAAAATTGCGTAACGTCCGCGACGATTAACACTGCTTAGGAATTGTAAGAATCTTAAAATATTTAAAAAAAATTATAAAATTAAGTAATCATAATAATGCGCAACTAAATTACAAATTGACGTTATGAATATATTTGAGTGATTCCCTAGCATATATATTAACCCTAGAATACTAATATAAATATACGACAGCTTAATACTAATGATCGCTTGGGAGGTTACTTTTTAAAAAACACCATTTTTTATATTAGTTATTTATTACATTTTATAAAAATAATATTAATTATTTGGCAAACTTCTACCCTTTTAAAAACTAAAATAAAAATTATTTTTTATAATCAACATTAGTCTTAAAATAAGACTTAAATCTTACAATAACAAACATTTTTTTTTAAACATATCACTCTTACATCAGTCTGATAAAAAATTACTAATATATTTTTGCACTTTTTGGCATCAATATTATTATCCAATATATAAACTTTATAAAACACTAAATTAAAATTATGGTTACATCACATTTTTGTCTATAGACTAATTTGAAGCCAGCCTTTCATTTTTTGTCACAGGAACTGCAGTTTGGAGATCGATGTTCTAAGCAATAGTTTTTCTTACATTTAGCGCAGTTATAAACAGTCATACGTCGTTTTTTAGCTGGGCAATAACTACACATACTTCTCTTGCCTTTTTTATACCTGGTTCAGTCACAGTTGGATAATATTCGGGAGCCAACACCTCTTGTATAGCGTCTCTAACTCGTTTTCTCATTTTCGGTCGCTCCTCACCTCTCAATTCACACGACGGTCAAAATAATTCAGTACTCAGTCCTTTCATGAACTCTCTTCTGTTCATTGGCTTAGTCCCGCGAGTCTTCAAATTGGATACATGCAATATATAGCTATTCAATACAGCCATGTTGATCATCCCTTAGAATAGGCACAGCGGCCAACGTCTTATTTTGCGATTACAACTCAAATGACCACATATTTGATCGAATGTATCCACAGCGCCTTTAGTTTTGTTGTAAGACAAAACGATTTCAGGCTTTTTCCATTACCGGTTCATTGTGCATGGTAGACAACAGAAGAACTGTTTTTTGGGATTTCGGTTTGAAACTAACTAGTGTGAGTTTATTGTGAAAACCAAACATAGATGCACCGACACGACATGACGGATCGTGTTCGAACTCTGATGGTATTTCTTTTTTATTGGCTTTTATTGTTCCAATGAAAGTCAAATTGTACGGATCTTCCAGAAGTTGGCTCAGCTAGAGGTACTGATGTGATCCAATTGTCTGCCGTGACGTTACGGTTGCTCCCATAAATAGTCTTCAAAAGCAGCTTGCAGTAATGAGTGCCAAGAGGTTCGGCCGGGGCAGTTTCAGCGTTTTGCCCGAAGTAGGGACAAGCATCAAACATGTACTTACTGTTCACATCATAAGCCAAAACTATCTTTATGCCGTACTTGGCTGGTTTATTCGGTAAATACATTCTGAATGCACATCGACCTCTGAAAGCAAGCAGCTGTTCATCGATGGTTATGTAGGCGCATGGCTTGTAAAGGTCTCTACATCTTTGTATAAATATCTCCCGGATGTTTCTTTTGGGTGCAAATTTGTCATTCTGTCTTCTGTTTTCACGGGTACTGCGGTCATCAAAATTAAGACAGCGTAGCAGAAACTCGAAACATTCCAAGCTCATTGAAGCTATGTATTTTGAACCACAAAGTGTGGAATCAAAAACTCTGGTTGGTAAATCGTTATTACCCATAGCACCACTGAAAATTATAAGACCAAGCAGTGCATGAAGTTCTTCTATTCTTAGCATTGATATGGTCGAACTTTGCTGTTTATATTTGCTGGCTTTGACTAAAATATCTTCGTTAGTGCGTAGGAGAATTTCATCCATCATTTCTGAAGTAAAAAATATTTCAAAGAAGTTCTTCTATTCTTAGCATTGATATGGTCGAACTTTGCTGTTTATATTTGCTGGCTTTGACTAAAATATCTTCGTTAGTGCGTAGGAGAATTTCATCCATCATTTCTGAAGTAAAAAATTTTTCAAAGCAGTTCAATGGTCTAATGACATCTCTACCATCCAGCTTTAGGCCGGGAGAAATATGGATTACGTTACTGGCAGCGGTTCGCATAGATCGTGACCTACTATATGTTTCTCTAGACGAAATATAATTGTTCTTACCTCTCACAGTCGACGCAGAAGGCAAAATAATAAGATTTTCCGCTGTTTGTTCTTCTTGTGATGCAGGAACTAATGAATCTGATGCATTACTAGTGGCTTGATATGGTATTAAAATGTTTGGGGGTTCAGAATCGTCTACTAAAATATTTTGTAGGTCTTCTTCCAGTCGAAATGGCACGAAAGAAGGATCTGCTGCGCTATCATCAGAGTCATAAGGATCGACTTCCAAGTTGTCCTCGATTTCGCTATCGGAGTTCTCATTTTGCAAAAGATCCGCTATTTGTCCTTCGTTGAGACTCATCTAAAAAGAAAATAAACATTTTCTAAGTTATAAGAAGGCTAAATAATAAAAAAAGCAAAAATCAAAATAAGTAACGAAAAATAAACTTACCGTTAATACTAATGATCGCCTCCCAGGCGATTCAATAGCTTATATTTTGATAACGGAGAGGCCCCAGCGAGCCCGCAACTGCTCCCCACCGCGGTGCGAGGTATACTGAATTGGCGCGAAAGCACAACTTGATTCGCGGGCGAGTTGCGATACGGATGTTATCGTTGATTATAATTATTGTTTTCGTTACCTGGAAAGTCACCAAATGAGTGTGAGCGCCTAATTTGACCTTTCAGTCAGGGTACTGCTTGCAGTCATCCTGTATGGTGACTCTGATTAGTTGTAATTTGTTGCTTGTACGTTTGCAGCCACTGGTTTATGACCCTACGAAAAATAAAATGTTAACTATTGAAAAACATGTGAATTTGCATAAGTCTGGGCAAATATTCGTCCTATGAGGTGATGTAAATTAGAGGTCTATGTTCAAAAGTAGACTTGTGATAGGTTAAAAAATTGATTGAAAAATTGTTCTTGAAAATTTTTAAGCTATTGCATAGCTTCTATCGCGGGCCTTGAGTGCGGGAAAATCCAGAAATTTCGTAACGAAAAAAACCTCATGCTCTCCGACGGGCACGGAGGTGTGGCTTGAAGGCCGTGCATTGTCTAACGATGGTCTAACGTCGTTTCTTTTCCTCAGTCTTCGACATGGTGTTTGTGTATAAAGTGTTTTGAAATTTTGAATATGAATGAACAAAGTGCATTTATTATTAAGGCTGCTCTCTCGCAAAAAGCTTGAAAAAAGCGTGCAGATGAACCAACTTTTCGTCGACACTTACAGAGAAATTACATATGAAAAAAATAGCTAGTAATCTACATGATCTGATACGTAATTTGGTTTAGCCATAATTTTTCTATAGGTGTCACATAATAAATAAAAAAATACCCAAATCACCTCCAAATCGTTGAGATGAAACCACTTTACTCCTTCATTGTTTATCAAAGGAATATAAAAAAAATATCTACTGCTTTGCAATACAAAATAAAACAATTTGGTTTGGTTACTTTTTAGAAATATGTATTATTTTTATGATAATAAATTAAAAATGCGTCCCGATTAAATACTGCGTCTATATCACCCCCCGCATTCGTCCACGAATTCAGTGCGGGGCGCATCGTGTTGCTAGGTGGACACGCCGCGTTCAGAGCTCAGCACTACGAAATAAAATCGTAAAATATTACTGCAAAAATTTAATTTTGTTAATAGTGGAGTAGGTTTTTTCTGATTCTTGTTTAATAGTAGTGTTTTATAGTTATATTAATTGTACAGTTTTATTAATGTTTAAGTTTAGTTTGTAAAACATGGGGAATAAGCAGAAACGATTGAAGAGAGGTCTAAAAAAATATTACAAACAAAAGGGTATACATTTATCAAGGTAAGTTTTAAGTTTTATCTACATATTTCATAATATTAGACAGGTGCTGTTTATAAAATACCTATATTACTGTGATTTCGCCACTCTGTGACGAGAGACAGCGCGGCAAACGCAAGTGGTAAACAATATTAACTTCTCATTTATACAATAAGAGAAAAAAAATTGTTTTCTTATCGGTGACCACGCTCAAAAAGTGTAACTTGATTTAATATCAAAGACTTAACTGCATAAATAAAATAAATAATTAATTATAATTGCATAAGTTGATAAAAAATGCTATGCAATAGCTTTACCGCGGCAGTCCCCGAGTGCCACACGTCTTTTTTTTACATTATTTTACTGCTGCGTTCAATGAAAATAATATTTTTCTCGGAGCCCTTGAATTATACTCGTCATAAATTAGGATCAAACCAAATGGAAGATTTTGATCGAATACTGTATAAGCACCGCTGCAATATCCCGTATTCCGTAGTAAACAGTTACATGTCTAAACTGCTTTGTCTTTTAATTTTGAAATTTTTAAGTTTGCAAATTTCTACGGGGCAAGATTTTATATAGTATTTCATATAGCTGTAGGAACCATAAAAGTGGTTGTCCCGCATGTGGTACTGAGTGCCTTGTAGGGTTAACTGTTCGGTTAGGGCCGCGGGGGACAACATGACCGCGAGTCAGAGGCGATTTTAAACGTCTCTATTGGGCCGTCGGGCATAAATATGAAGCTAATATGTATTTGCCGTGACCCCCACGGTCCTGCAGACAAACAGATTTGGTTTTTAGTAAAAAATATGACTTAGAAAAATATGACTAATAATTTCGGAACAAGACTTGTTTGAAAGATTTTAAGGAAAAAGTGTGCATGATAATGTGTTATTTTATATTTTTCCATAAAATTACTATTTATAATCTGTTGTAAAATACTGTATACTGTTACTATTCTGCTATATCTGGTGAAAGTTGTACTACATAGCTGTTAGGGTTTAATTTTTCGAGGATAGTTTGATGAATTAAACTATAGGTTTGTAAATCAGAAATATAATAATTATTTATTAATGTTATTATTTATTACAGTTTTTTAAATGAAGCAACATTAAATCAGACTTCAGATTGAGATCAATATTAACGTTACTAAACTTAATAATTTAATGAATTTTATGGAAACAATCAAAACAAAGAAATGGTTTGTTAGGGCAGGTTTCACAAAAAGTTACAAATTTTTTCGTCTTGTTTTTGGCTAATACTCGTCCCATTACTTTAGTATTGTCTTTGTAGCACTGCTGACATGTTCGTCGACAATTTTTGCTTGTGCCGTCTTTCCTGGCAAGCTTATGCTTAATTCTTATTGGTCTTGAAACCTGACTTGAGGTTTCACTTCTCATTAACAGGCCCTTCAACACCTGTTTCCTAAATTCAACAATTTGGATTTTCGTCCAGGGAACTGTTTGATATAATACTAGTGCATTGAAAACTGCAGTGTTCAACAGCAAGTTTAAGGCAACTTTTTTGTACCATTTTACCGATTTCCTTAATGGCGTGGAATAAGCCCCCATTTGGTCGGACAAATCGACAGCTCCTTTTGCCCTATTATAGTCTAGCACGATTTTTGGCTTCGATACCGCTTTTCCTCGCTTTGTAATTGTCTGAAAACGGTAGGAATGTTTGGTCGAAAGAACAAGTACGTCCCTTTTTTATCTTTCTACTTCATGATAGTTATTCCATCTTCGCTCTCTCTAGCTATATATTCACCTGTCTTCAGTTTAGCATTAGCAACCTGTTTTGGTATATCCCTTCTATTTTTTCCAATAGTACCCACTAGGTGTGTTTCATTTTCCAACAGCCAATCGTGATCCTCGGCGACTTTAACGCCCAACACGCCGAATGGCTCGGTTCACGTTTAACCGATCATGCGGGGAGATCTGTTCATGATTTTGCCTTGGCATATGGTCTGACACAACTGGTTACTTCGCCTACGCGGATTCCAGATGTGGAGGATCATGCACCTTCCCTGTTGGACCTTCTGCTGACCTCTCACCCGGACGGATATCAGATTTCCGTCGACGCCCCTTTAGGCTCCTCTGACCATTGTCTTGTCCGGAGTGTGGTGCCACTCACGCTGAAATCGCGGTTGCATTCTGCAGGCTGCCGCCGTGTTTGGCACTATAGGTCAGCCGATTGGGATGGGATGCGGTCTTTCTTTGCATCCTACCCTTGGGGGCGGGTTTGCTTCTCGCCGGACGATCCCAACGTTGTTGCGGATTCTGTCGCTGATGCGGTACTTCAGGGTACGGAACTTTTTATTCCTTCCTCTGTGGTGCCCATTGGAGGCAAATCTCAGCCATGGTTTGGTCGCTCCTGTAAAATAGCATCATGCTATAAGCAGGAGTGCTACCGAGCCTGGGCTGACGCATCAGCGTCCAGGGATGTAAACACCAGCGCTCTAAAAAAGAAGTATAATTCCGCCTCTAGGTCCTTCAAAAGAGTCATTGCCAAGGCAAAGTCAGAGCACATAGGCAGAATTGGCAAGAGACTAGTTCGTCTTCCTTCTGGAACCCGTGCATTCTGGTCTCTCGCCAAGGCTGTCCAGGGGAATTTCTGTCAGCCATCTCTTCCATCTCTGCACAGGGAGGACGACTCACTGGCCCACACCGCAAAGGAGAAAGCCGATCTTCTAGGCTCTTTCTTCGCGTCTAACTCGACTCTCGATGACGGGGGGGAGTACGCCGCCGACCATCCCGCGGTGTGAGTGCGCCATGCCGGAAGTGCAGTTCACTCAGCGCTCGGTTCGCAAAGCACTCCTCTCCCCTCCCCTGGACATCCATAAGTCGAGTGGGCCTGACGGAATCCCCCCCAATTGTGCTGAGGACGTGTGCTCCAGAGTTGGCACCGGTTTTAACGCGTCTTTTCCGGTACTCCTACTCCCTAGGCGTAGTCCCAAAATCATGGAAGACGGCTTTCGTCCACCCGATCCCTAAAAAAAGGCGACCGCTCAGACCCGTCCAACTACCGGCCTATCGCCATCACCTCCTTGTTCTCCAAAACAATGGAGTCCATTGTAAACTGCCAGCTCATGAGGTACCTTGAGGATCACCAGCTGATTAGTGACCGCCAATACGGTTTTCGCCGTGGTAGGTCAGCTGGTGATCTTCTGGTCTACCTAACTCACAGATGGGCGGAGGCAGTAGAGTCCAAGGGGAAGGCATTGGCCGTTAGTTTGGACATTGCGAAGGCCTTCGATCGGGTTTGGCACAAAGCGCTTCTTTCGAAGCTCCCTTCCTATGGGCTTCCCGAGAAATTGTGCGATTGGATCACCAGTTTTCTTGCAGATCGGAGCATCAAGGTCGTTGTAGACGGTGCAAGCTCCGATTGCAAGCTTATTAATACTGGTGTTCCACAGGGCTGCGTGCTATCGCCAACGCTGTTTCTTCTGCATATCAATGATATGTTGCAAACCCGTAGCATTCATTGCTATGCAGATGACAGCACTGGTGATGCTCTTTACACCGGCCGAGCCAATATTTCTCGGGAAAACGTCTCTGAGTGCCGGGACAAACTTGTGTCTGAAGTCGAGTCTCTGCTGGACAGAGTCTCGGATTGGGGGCGACTAAATCTTGTCCAGTTTAACCCCCAGAAGACACAAGTTTGCGCGTTAACCGCTAAAAAGAACCCCTTTGTCGTATCCCCTCAGTTTCAAGGCACTCCCCCTTGTTGCCTCAGCCAGTATCGGAATCCTAGGCGTCTACATATCGAGTGACGTGCAGTTTCGTGGTCACTTGAAGGGAAGGCCAAATTGGCCTCTAAAAAGCTTGGCGTGCTCAGCAGAGCGGGACAGTATTTCATGCCGGCACACCGCCTGCAACTTTACAAGGCGCAGGTTTGGCCGCTCATGGAATACTGTTCCCGTCTCTGGGCTGGGGCTCCCCAGTACCGGCTCCTTCCACTTGACCGCATCCAGCGCAGAGCGGCTCGAATCGTCGACGACCGAGTGCTTTCCGATCGGCTCGATTCACTGGCGCTGCGAAGAGATGTTGCATCTCTTTGCGTATTTTATCGCATCTATTACGGGGAGTGCTCTGAGGAATTGTTCGGATTAATCCCAGCCGCCAAATTTCGTGAACGCACTACACGGCAAACGTCCCGATACCATCCACATCATCTAGATGCTTGGCGGTCCACCACTGTACGTTTCAAAAGGAGTTTTCTTCCGCGTACAACCTCTCTGTGGAATAATTTACCACCGGTGATTTTTCCGGACCGATACGACCTGGGGACCTTCAAGAAAAGAGCTTACTCCTTTCTAAAGGGCTGGCAACGCACCTGCAATTCCCCTGGTGTTGCGGTTGATCATGGGCGGCGGTAGTCACTTAACATCAGGTGAGCCACATGCTCGTTTGTCCCCTCTTCTATAAAAAAAAAGCTTCCATGCTAAATCAATACTCGTTTACATATTGTCAGTATACAACGTATGACCCTTGTTCAACAAGCCACTGCAAAGTGACATTACAACATTTGCCGGCGTATTATTCACTTGAACGCTTTCTTTTCCCGCATAAATATTTATTTTATATGTATACCCTAGTAGAGTGCATAATTTAAACTCTTTTATGCCATATTTATGACGTTTCTGTTTGTTATATTGACGGAAAATGATTCTGCCGCGGAATGGCACAACGCTTTCGTCAATACATGTATCTTCGGCAGGAGTATAATGCCTTGAAAAATTAGTGTTCATGACCTCCAGTAAGTGTCTGACGCGATGTAACCTATCAGATTTGTGAGCATTGTCAAGCTGGGAAAAATGAAGCATTTGAAGAAGCAGTTCAAAGCGATTACGAGACATAATTGTTGCTGCAAACGGGTGATCTTGTTATTTCATCTTTTGACCAATAATCGGAAAGCTTAGGAAGTTCAAAAAAGCGTTTCATCTCATGCACGTTAGAAGGAGAGGATTTTCTGTGAAAGGTATAATTCGACGCTGGTTACCTGTTGGTAGTGCCCATGTACGTGTAAACGGCGTAGTGTTTCCCGAGGTATCTGAAACTGCATGTTCTTCCGCATCACTCTCTTCACTCTCTATCACCATAATACAACGACGTTTACGAGTAACTGGATGGATATTTGTCTTATTTTTCAGAGCTTACATGGAAACTATTATTCAACAAGGTGATTTCTAATTCTTCTATTTGTGATAAATCATCCTGATTTATTTCGAAATCTGCGAACTCATCCATTATAATAAATGAAATGCAATAAAAAACAATGTAATTTACGTAAACAAATAAACAGAAAATTCTCGAATCGATACGTAACCAATGTAGGTAGCTAGGTAGTCCAAACCGTCACTGCACGGGCGCGCGGGAATCGCGTATCGAGTAGGCCGGCGCTCGGCAGGACATGAGCGGGGATGACCGACACCCCGACCCCCGCGGCCCCCGCCAACGAACAACGCGATTTATTCCCGCGTGGGCCATGGAAGGCAACTGTTGAGTGACCGTAGTATTTTGGTAAAATCAAGTCACAAATTACTTTTCTTCGATTTATTTCGTGTGATTTGGCACATTTTCTAGCCCATAAAGCAATAAAAACATAAACGTAAAATTTTACAATCGGGCATTTTTAATCTGGCTCCTTTTACTAAATAAGTGAGGCCCATATGTTGTCCCCCACGGCGTTTAACGTGTTAATTAACAACTAAATTACTGAAGTTATGCAAAACCTAAAATATCGAGCTACGCTACCGAGGTAATAAACTGAAGCTAACACTACTGAACTACTATGGAGAAGCTACCGACGAGAAACTACCTAGCTAAAGGTACCGAGGAGAGTGCGTGGCGGGGGGCGACTGACTCGCTTGCGGCGGTTAGCTAAAATGCTGATTCAAAACTGCAAGCTCGACGTACAGTCGCCACTTCATCATCCCCTTTGAAAAAAAAATTAAACAAAAAAGATATGTTAAAAATTAAACACTGGGATATTAAAACTAATATTTAATGAAAAGTTTTGAACACTTTAGCAGTTTTTTGCACAGTCTTTTCACTACAATTGCATCTAATCTAACTTCCGTGGTGTCGTCTTTTTTACCAGTGTATACTTCAAACTGGTAAAGACACCCCGTCGGACTGTCACAGGACGCCCAAACCTTGAAACCTCGCTTGATGGGCTTTTTTAGCATGTATTGTTTAAGCGTGCTGCGCCCATAAAATTTTATCATGCATTCGTCAATGCTGTCTGAGAAAGAGCATGATGCACTATTTTGAAAAGCGTCATTCATGCTGTCGATCAAAGGTCTGACTTTGTATAGTTTATCAAAACCTTGTTCATTTTTCTTAGGCATTTACTATTGTCATTTATATGAAAATTAGACAGAATCTTTTTGAATCTCTTCACTGGCATGACGTCTGCAACCTCTTACGCAAAACAGCGGATCAGAAGACCAGTATAGTGCCACATTAGGAAGTACATGAAGTGCCATGAATATCAGATTTCAAAAAAGGCTTTCAGTTCAGCGGTTTTGTATTGCATATAAATTGATTTGGTGCACAATGGTAGCTAGGATTTCATCCGTGAAAAAAGCTCTAAAATATACAGCAGGACTACTTCCGTCCGGGATAAACTGTTTCGGTTTCAATACTCTATAATCGAATTTATCAATTGGCGGATTGTGAGGAAACTGCACTTTTTTCCAATGTTCATCATAGTCATCACTATCGGAGCTATCGTCAGACGATTCTGTATCTATTACATCAGCAGCACACACCACACCACAGCACCACAGCATTGGTATTGGAGTTGCAGAAGCAGTTTTTAGAACAGGAGACAATTAAACCCTTTAATGCATGATTTTTTTACTAGCTTTAAAAAATATATAGGCAGATGGAAAAATGTACAAATATTAAGGGAAAAATAAAGAAAAAAAATCTTATTATTAAAAATCATATATATATTTAGAAAAAAAACATGTGATGTAGATATACATCATTATGCAATTACTAGTAGCTTTTTATTACTAGTATGCGAGTTATTTATGAAAATCTCTAAAACAGTTATTGCGTGCGTTCAGACACAGAGGTACGTTACACTTTGAACATGCCCACTGCGTAGTACCTTTGCACTATGGAATTTTGCACCGTAATCTATTTGAAAAGATAGGCCAGTGTTCGACTCCATCGGTTCGTATATCCTTGCAGGGGGCTGGATGACCCAAACCCTTTGGCTTCTTGGCATGTTTGCGCTCCAAGTCCACATTAGAGGGACGCCCTCTTTTAACACCATTTGAAGTTCCCACGTTACAAAGTGCATCGGCCAAGATGTTACGAAACTCTCCAAGATTTGGAAGCTGTTTCTCAGGAATACCCTTTGCTGTGCAATTTTTTTTCAAAAGAACCCACAAATTTATAACGGCGAGGTCTAAAAGATGGTAAAAGAGGCGCATGTACCATTTTTGGCTCTTTATGCGTATGCGATAGCGTCCCAGGTAGCTGTCCATCAAGTCCACTCCCCCCATGTGCATGTTATATTCTTCGACTATCTTTGGACAGGGTATATCGAGCCTTTTCAGGAAGAAGATCGTAACCGCCATTTTGCATATTTTACAGGAGAACGTTTTTTTTAAATATTTCTCAAATTATTTACAGCATCAATTTGAAATATTTACTTGGTGTTATATGGGCACCTCCCTATTAATTCAAATGTTAAGATTTGACTTAGTGCTATAAAATCACATACATTTGTCGCTTACGTTAAAACTGATCACCGTTATTATGTAGAGCTGATATGAGTATGTCGACTACGATAATTCTTATATCATAAAATAGTAGAAATAATATTTCTATTATATAATATTTCTAAAATAATATTATTATTTTTTGTTTTTTTTTTAACTGTTTTTACGAGATACCATGCCAGGCAGAGAAGGACAAAGAGTCAGAAATACAAAAAAGTAAAAAAAAAATTGTAGGTACTTCTAAGTGAATTTGAGCTTTATTAATAAAATGAAATACAAAAAGAGTCATCAGTCCTCGTCTTCATCAGTCTCAGGTAAAGCGTCTCTTGTGTTTCTATCGCAGGGCAAATCCAGATATTCTTTTGTATAAAATTCTGGTATGATACCCTTTTCGCACATTTTCTTTAAATCTTCGTATTTCGCCTTTGAGATGGGAAGTTTTTCAGTGTAAGCAGTTTTAGGTTCACGAATAGCTTGTTGATTCTGCCGAGACCTCAATATAAGAGACACATCAATAGCTTGTTCGGGTCCATCATAGTCGTATTTAAGATAGAACTTGTCGCCTTTTTCAAATCTAGCGTTACGCAGCTTGCTTGTTTGTATTTTAATTTTGTTTGGTAAAAAAGGCTGTTGCATAGGAATTCCAATCTTTAATTTCATTATTTTTTAAAAGAATTGTCTCATATTTTTTGGGATTTGTCCGAGCATTTCCAATCAAAGTTTGCCATTCAGATGGTGCGTAAATAGTTCTTTTCTGTATAAATCCTTCTATTGTTGCATGCACAGAGTCTACTGGCATCATGGTATGTCCAGGAATGAAATAATAGAGCATTACAATCATGGCTTTATTTTTATTTTGTCCTGCGCAACTGTCACAGTATAATGCAACTTCATTTTGGGTCCTTCTCTCGTCAACCATTTTAAGGTATTTAAAGATAATAGTACAGATTTCATTGCACCCTCTTTTCGCTTCCGTTTCGTTCCAAAGGTAACAAAATACAGATCTGGTACCGCTTTCATAAATGCTTTCATTATAATAGGCAAGCTTTCGAGTATAGTAGAAATTTACACTTTGACCGCGAGGTGTTGTTAAGACCTTTTCAAGATCAAAGCTTGCACACAAAAAGTTTCTGTTGTCTTTGCTTCTTTTTTGATCCTCTAGAAATAGCTTTAATGATGTTTCTTTGTCCTTAATGTGATTCTTGTAAGCATCTGATTCTATCGTTTTTTTTCTTTCTTTATCATTTAAATTCTGTATTCTCTCACATTGATCACATTTATCTTTCTTTTGTAAGTGAAACCCTAAGTTAAATTCAGTCTTAAATATTTTTCTAAACTTCTGATAACTTACTGCGCCTAACTCTTTCGTATCATCGTCTTTCAAATAAAAGTTTCTATATAAATAGGTCACATCCCTAAATTCAGTTGGTAAGTACAATTTGTTACTTTTGTTTCTGCAATAGTGTGATTGAACGGCAGGTAACTTTTTTATAAAATTATTGACGTTTTGAGTTTGAGATTGACTGTATTTATTTAAAGGCGTTCGTTTGCCGCGTTGGTCAGGTTTTGACAAAAACTTGCAATTTTATGTGATTTAGTGTAACGCAGTGTCATTTGCGAAATATCAAGGGTTTTCAAAAGAAACTGTTGACAAATTTTAACCGTTTCGGTGTCCTTTGGTAAGTAATAATTGTAACTTATTTTTCGACGATCACTTTCTGCTCTTTTTCGACCGATTTCACATTCCTTAATACAAGATAAAATAAAATTTCTTTGTCTTTGTAGAATAGAATAGAATAGAATAGAATATCGTTTATTTCTTAGTATATGGTAATTACAGATGTTGAAATTGTAGAATGATTCACATATACTACCGTATCCGGTGTAGAAATATTACAATTAGAATAATATTTAACACTTTATAGTTCTTATTTAGACAATTTATACATTTATAACATTATATAGGAATTATCAATTGTAGATATATATTATTATTATTATTAATACAATATTGGGAGCATTCATTTATGTATAATTTATAAATTTATAATCTATGAAATCGTTAACAGAATAAAAACACATATCCAAGAGCCAAGAAAATATTGCACGTTTAAATTTATTTATAGGCAACTGTCTAATCTGTGGTGGCAGCTTATTAAAGATTGTTATTGCCATGCAGTGGGCATTACGACTATACAAATAAAGTCTTTGGGATGGTGCCACCAATTGGTTTGGGTTTCTGTCTTGGATCCTCTTGGAAACACGTTCATTTATTGGAAATAGATAGGAATATCTCTTAACGAACAAACATATTTCAAAAATATAGAGACAGGGCAGTGGAAGTATCTTTAATTTTTGAAATAATGGCTTACAATGATCTAAATAATTAGCGCCACACATGGATCTAATACATTTTTTTTGTGCTTTAAACGCCCTGCCTATATTCACTGAATTACCCCATATAACTAATCCATAGCGAAGTACTGAAGAGACGTACCCATGATATGCACTGAGGACTGTTTCGTTACTGGCTGTGAGTCTTAGTTTGCGAAGAGCAAATACAAATTTATCGAGTTTACTACACACTTTATCTACATGTTCTTTCCAGTTCAATTTACCATCAATAATTATACCTAAAAATAATGTAGATTGTACTGGTTGCAAAACAGTATTATTATATTGTATTTTAACAGGGTGGCACTTTGAATTTAGAGTTTGGTACTGTATTAATTTAGTTTTATTTAAATTGACATGTAGATTATTCTCTTGTAGCCATTGCACTGCATTTTGTAACTCATTATTAGTTTCAAATTCGAGATTATTTTTGTTTAAACAGCTTATGGTTAGTGTAGTGTCGTCAGCAAACAATGTGCATTTATGTTTTAGGTTACTACAGAGATCATTAATATAAATAATGAATAAAAATGGCCCTAGAATGCTGCCCTGCGGCACACCACAACTATTAAGTTTAAGTTCAGATTCATATGTAACTTTCGAATTATTTTCTATTTTCTATTTTTGATCCAAGACCCCAATAGAGTTCATGGACGCAGTTTCTCTCGATTTCAGTAAACTTATTAGCGCAGTCATTCCCGCATTTTTTACCTAAGCAGGGATTAGCTTTGACAGATTTTCCTTTTCCAGACCACCTCTCAGACCTTTCTTTTAGTTTTTTCGGTAGTGGTCGTTTCTTCCGCATACCCTTTTTACCAACGATACCTGAGTCTTCCTCTTCTGTGCTATCAGAACTTTCTTTGGTTGAATTTGAATAGCAGACGTGGATGGGCAAGTGTAGTCGTCCATACTTGTAAATACTAGCCTTTTCTTTTTTCTTCTGATAGGAATATGCCAAGACTGGTCAGAGTCACATCCACTAAAATCCTTTTCTACTTCAGAGTTTTGGTCGGTAGACGAGCAATGTGTAGAATCAGAGTAGTCAACTAAAGCATTGGATGGTATAAGTTCAGCCATCTCCTCAATTTTCTGGAAGCGAAATAAAAACCCTATACAAATCCAAATCACCGCCACCCAAACAAAAGTTAAAGCACGAAAAAAAGAAAAAAACTGTGAAGGAAATTTAAGATTTAGGCATAACCACTCATTATTTTTTTTTATTTAAAAAAAAGGTCTACCTACAATTGTTACAATTTAACATACTAAATCTAAATGTATGATAAAGTCTTATACTAATTGCACAATTACTTACAGGTAAACACCGCTAAACCATAATTAAAGTGTTAATTTACATATTATGTTAAGAAAAAAAAATTAATTAAAACATTTTAAAACAGAACAACAAAACAACCAGTGATTTAGATATTATGTGTAGTAAACATACAGAATAAAAATAACTTAATTTGAAATTGTGTCTAACAAGTACTTGCGAAACTTGTACGAGGAAACAAAATTTATATCTGTCCGGCTACTGATCCCATTATAAAGTTTACTTAACCTAGCTACAGGAGAGTTGTTACCAAGCACAGTCCTACGAAATGGTGGGGCAAGTGGAAGAATGGGAGCTCGCGGAAGTGTCCTGGGCACCCTAAATTTAATGTAACTTAGAAGTTGGGGACAGTCTATTTGACTTCTTAAAATTTTGAAAATAAAAAGTTAGGTCGATAATAGCTCTGCGTTTTTCAAGAGAGTCCATGTTAAAATGTTTTAGCCTGTGGGAGTAAGAGTAAGAGAAGCCCCTTCGTCCCATTCCAGAAGAGAACGCCAGGTGCCAAAGAAATCTCTTCTGTATCCTTTCTAGCCGCAGATAATGGGTGCGGTATAGTGCGGTCTCCATACTACGCTACAATACTCAAGAGTGCTACGAATAAAGGCATTATATAATATTTTTTTTTGTTTGATAACTGCGAAAAATTTTACCGTTTCTAATAATAAATCCTAACATTTTCGATGCTTTCTTGACAATATGATCATAATGTGGAATAAATGTCAATTTGCGGTCAAACACTACCCCTAAGTCTAAAACAGTATCTACTTCACTTAAAGTAGAATCATCTATTATATAATGCGAGCTTATAAAGTTACGGTTTCGACAAAATTTAATATGAAAACATTTATTTACATTTAGGTTCATTGAGTTATTTTTACACCAGTGTGACAGCCTATTTAAATCAGATTGCAATAGTACTACATCGGAATCATCAACAATTTTACGAGAAATCTTTAAATCGTCTGCATAAAGATAAGGTTTAGAGTAAATAAAACTATCAGTTATATCGTTAATAAAGATGTTAAAAAGTATGGGCCCAAGATGTGATCCTTGCGGCACACCAGATGTTATATCGTAAGTATCAGAGTTAAACCCATCCAAGACTACGTAGAAGGAACGGTTACTTAAATAGGACTTAAACCAATCCCAAATCTTTCCTGTGAATCCATAGGAGCCTAATTTTCTTAGCAAAATTGAATGTGAAACTTTGTCGAATGCCTTGCTAAAATCGGTATAGATAACATCAACTTGATTTCTATTGTCAATGGCATCTACAAGATCTTCGACAAAAGTTACAAGATTAGTTAAAGTTGATCTATTTTTCACGAAACCGTGCTGAGAGTCAGTCATAAATTGTCGGAAATAGGTTTGAATATGAGGACAAACGATTGATTCAAGAAGCTTGGCTAATGTAGAAAGTATCGAGATTGGCCGATAATTCGAAACAATACCAATATCACCTGATTTAAAGACTGGTACTACCTTTGCAAGCTTCCACAGATCTGGAAACACTCCAGTAATAAATGACTCATTTATAATTTTACACAAAGGAAAAGCTAAACTATCAGTACAATTTTTAAGAAATATTGGCGCTAATCCATCGGCACCAGTACCTTTGGTAATATCTAAAGTTTTGAGTTTATTAACAATAACATTGAGATCAACGGTAAGACTGGAAAAACATGAACTCCCATTATCAATGATTCTAAGACTTTCAACTTCAGAATGGGGTCCTTCTTTTGGATTATCACCATAGACCCTTGAATAAGTTGCAGCAAACAATTCACAAATGCTTTGGCCATTGTTTGCTATAGTGATACCATCTGTGACAGACCTGGGATAGGCACTAGACCCTCCACGTTTGCTTTTGATAAATGACCAAAAGTATTTTGAATTTTGCCTAATCGTTTTCTCTATGTTAACAATATAATTATTATAACACTCTTTAGCTAACTTATCGCATCTTTGACTTAAAATTTGTAGTTCAATTTCGTCTAAAGGGTTACTATATTTTTTATACTTAAGCCGAAGTTTATTTTTTTCCTTTAGTCTTGCAATCAGCACTTTATTAAACCATGGGGGGTGACGTTTAAGGCAATTAACATTTTTAATTGGAACAAATTTTTTAATGACTTCATTTATAGTATCATAGAATATTTCTAACATCCTATTCACGTCATTGCATAGGGAGAAGATTGAGTCCCAATCCAAACTAAAAAGATACTTATTTATTGCCTCATAATCAGCCTTATAAAAATTATACTTAAGAACACTCATATTAGGCGTTAGTTTTTCTGTTTCATCAGATGCGATATAAGTGCATATAGGTGGATGTTGTGGATCGATGTTGGATAAAACATCATAAGCAGAAGACACAGTACAGTTATCAATATCTGTAAGAACTAGATCCAATATTTTATCTCTAGCGTTAATTATACAGTTAATTTGTTTTAGATTATTAACAAAAGTAAAATCTATTAATGTTTGACAAAGACTGGTGGTGCAGTAGCTTGAATTGTGACTAACCTGCGTCCAATCTATATTACTCATATTAAAGTCGCCAATAATACATAGATGTCCGTCAAAATTCTCAAGAACCGCATTACAGTTATTAACAAAATGTTCTAACATGCTACGTTGAATTGGTGGTGGGAGGTAAACGGCGCAAAGTGCGATCTTTTTAACTACTGAAAAAGGCAGATTTATCACAATCCAAAGATCTTCACATGCACTATTCCATTCATTTATACAGTCAGAAGATAAGCTTTTTTTGACCGCAACCAGAACCCCACCTCCATCCTTGCCACCATGAAATCCTGACGTTTCTCTATCCCTTCTGAATACTGTGTAACGGTTATCAAATAGTTCGGAGCTCAATACGCTGCTGTTTAACCACGTCTCTGTTAAGACTATTACATCATAGTCACTAGTTGCTAACTTACGATTAAATGTTTGTGTTTTGGTCCTAAGACCTCTAACATTCTGGTAATAAATTACAAGCGAATTAATATTAGCAGGTGACATTGTATTTTAACTTTATATTAACTAATAGAAACAATTAGCGAATTACTCTAGTTTTGATAATGAATCAAAATTTTTAATTTGAATAAAGCCTGAATTTTCACTTTTTCTTAGAAATATACGTCCACCTCTCACCCAAACAAATTTAAACCCTTTTTCCTTTGCAGTCTTCCTCGCCGCCGAATGCAATTCCTTATTTGCAGCTGACAAGTGCTCTGTTACGTATACCGGAGTCTTAGGACCATTAAAACCAAGGTGACTAGAGTTCAACTTGTTATCCGGGTTAGCTTTATTAAATTTGATTGTGGCTGCTAAGAAGCTATCTCGTACTCTAGTGTTATTAAATTCAACTATCACCGAACGAGGACGATCATTATTCGGATTGAGTTTGGCAATTCTTGTTATTCGATTTATCTGTTCAGTTTTGATGTCACACTTTACTATACTGCAAATGTTGTTGAACACCGTGAAAAGATTTTCTGACTTCTTCTCTGGCAAGCATTGAATTTCGACGTTGCTGCTGCGGGCGTTCTGCTCAAGGTTGTTCATGCGTGTCTCAAGATATTTTATAGTACTCTGCAATTTGGCATTTGTTTCAATCAGACTCTTAGTATCTTCCAGAGACTTAGTATTTTTATTTTGAATATCTTCACATTTTCTATTCATATCATCCATTTTCTGCTTCATGTTACAAATTTCTTCCCGAAATGTTTTAAGTTCAGTATCTAGAATGGAACGCACGTTTTTGGTCATCTGAACCATAAGGTCTGATATATGCTTTTGAATAATTTCCTCCATAATGTTACGCACCTCTGTACGTGTTACAGGGCCTTCAATTTCAATTTCCGGGGGGGATGACAATGCCTGTCTTTTGGAGGCTCGTACTGTAATATTAGGGTCACATTTTACTGGTGTGTTATCCTTATTGCCAGTCGCGTGGAGAGGTCTAATGCAACATGGACCGATCCAGTCAGTAGCATGCTTTATCGCTTTCAAATTGTCGACATCATTGGTTAGACATTTAAGATGATATGCCTTGTTACATGTGTTGCAAAGCTTATAAATATTATCTTCAAACCCTAAAGAACAACAACCCCATTCAATTAAATCTTGATCCATTTTATAATATAATTTTAGTTATACTTGTCGTGATAAATAAATTATATTTTGGCACAGCAGTAAATGCCCGAACCAAAAATCCACAGCAACAAAGTCGTTTTTTTTTTTTTTTTTTTTTTTTAATACAAAAAACGGGTACATTAACAAAATTATAAGTCACAGTTTATAACGGCGCGGCAGTAGGTTAATTATTCGTTAACAATTACTTTCAATTTTAAAGTTTATAGGTATTTTAAGATTAAAACACAATACTCTACACAACGTTAAATTTAAAGTTCACTTAATTATCACTTGTTTCAGTATTTTAAACGTTCTTAACATAAAGAAGAGAAAAAAAAAATTAAATTCGCGGAGCAAAATGACACCGCCGCGTTCACAACGATGCACCAGACATAACCAGATAAGAAATAACCAGACGAACGAGACACTGAGCGCCCGGGTTGAGCGCCATACGCCAGGGGTCTTGACGGTTGGTTTTCCGGTATGGAAGCGTCTAGCGACCGTAGACACGGAGGTCTGTGTTAAGCTCCGTAAGACAGGGGTCTTGATTACTGGTTTTGCATGAGGATTCGCGTAGAAACGTGTGAATACGATGGCGACCTGCGCCGAACATACTGCTCATAACGTATTTAATTGAAATGATACAACTTGTCATCAAACTTAATAACATCCAGCAGGTAATTTAACTTATTTATGAAGTCAATGCATTTAATCAAACCCAGAAAAATAATTAGTACCTATATTATTTTACTTAAGTCTCTAGTGCTAAAATACCGCCCACCTAATTATTTTTGTTCACATCACACGATTCAAGTAGGTAATTTAGTTTCACGTTTCACTTACCTTGTCGTTCGATAATACGTGTTTTTTTACTTGAACACTCAGTTTAAGCAAATACACATTAGGAATAGTTAATTTTCAAAATATTCGTAACGTAAGTGAAGAAGGTATAACACAGTGACGAAAATCTTTAAATTTAAAACACGTTGAAACCTGTCTTGATGCTACACTACTTCTACAAGTGCGTTTTGATTCACTATTAAACTATTAGGTTGATTCTTTTAAACTATTTCTTTGATCAGAGCTTTTAAACATAAAATAATAAGCAGTTTCGTTATTTCTATTACTAACCTAAAGTCAAGGTAAGTTTTCTACTATAGTTACCAAAGTTAATGGCATTCATATTTTAATTTATTACACTATTATAATGTTACAGTTCAGGAACAGTGTTACAGTTCCTGAAGAACAACTAAACGCAAAACGCATTTTATTTCTATCGCAAGCGACAAGTATTTCACTTACGTTGCACAATTTATTATCGTAAGTGCCAAGTAGGATGTTTGCAATAAAATTATTAACCTAATATTATATCGTAAGCGACAGGTACTATACTAACGATCTGTCAGTCGGTGGAGGTTACGTTAAAAAAATTGAATGGGTTGTAACTTACGATGAAAATTTCGTAATTAAAACAAGTTAATTACCATTTCTACTTTGAACTCAAGTAAGTGATAAAAAGATTCAAAATCAGTTGATCTGGCGGTTAGTAATTAAAACCGTTTTTTGGGAATTTTGGCGCTTACGATGTTCTTCCTAAAAAGGCTCGATTATCTATATTTTGTTTAGTCTTCTTTTCGTACCGACCGACTGTTGTAGCAGATTCAGCACCTACATATGTAGATAAAAGCGTGACAACTTTGTTGTCTTTCCATGCAGTTGCTGAAAAGTCGACACCATCGTAGTGAGTAATCTTTTCTTGATATGTACCTCTAGAAACATTCGCCTTCATGTATTCCTTTTTGTCAGGGAGTCGACAATTTGGAAGCCTATTTTGCTGTACAGATCCAGGGCTGTGAATGCCTTGTTTAGCCAAATGAAACATCAAAGGCAATGAGGTATAAAAATTGTCAAAAAATATGATGTGATTGACCATCCTTGGAACAACTCTAGCCAATCGCAGTACAACGTTGCTTGTTACGCCTAAATCTGGTTCGTCTGCTTGGCAGTCTCTTTTGTCTTCTTGGCCAGAATATACTTCAAAACGATATGCATAGCCCACGAGATTACATAAAACAAATAGTTTGTAACCCCACTTCTGGGATTTATTTGGCATATACTGTTTTAAAAGTGGGAAATTTTGGTAGAGCACATTTGCTCATCGATGGAAAGGCGCTGGTCTATGGCTATTAAAGAAAAAGTTTTATTCAGCTGATCTATAACAGATCTAATCTTATGTAAGCGGTCATGGTCTGGATGCTCCTTTGGAAGATGTTTGTTATTGTCATTGAAGTGTAAGTGTCTTCTAATAGCCTCAAAACGGTTAACTGACATAACTTTCCTAACAGGGTCGTAACCAAACTTCTCATTCCAATAGGAGCGGACACTGGGAAAATGTTCAACAGACATAAATAATAAGATACCTAGATATTTTTTTAGTTCGGCGTCACTTATGGAAAATGATTTTGTAGGATTTTGTTGCGTGGCATACAAATTTGTTTCATTTACTATTTTTTTAATGAATTCTGGCATGAAATAATGTAGGAAGCACCTGTATGGTGTATCGAGGTCAGCTATCTCAGGGTCTGTAACACTAGCTTTATGTGTAAGATTAGATTCGTCGAAAACTAAACTGTCTGTTTTCCATATAAGTTTTCTTTTGTCGAAACAAGAATTCAATAAATTTTGATTTCCTTGCCTAGGTTCAGGCTCGTGCACAGGATCTGCCTTTTTATACTGAACAAGTGGAGGATCGTTATCATCATCAGCAGTATCGACGTTCTCTTCTTCTAAATCGTGGATAATTTCTCGAACATTGCTATAAAAACGTTCCTCATCATCATCCTCGTCTTCCAGGCCATCATCGGAAATATCACCACTTTCCAAAGCAGACAATAGATCTTCTATATCTCTATCTCGAAGTGACATTCTGTAATATTGAATTGCAAAGTTATAACATAAGTATCGCCAATAGTTTAATTTATACAATGAAAGTAAACTAAACCATACAACTAAAATTTGCTAAGATGTGCTTATAATCACCTCTAGATCGCACAAAATGAGAAAAAATAAAAGATTATAAAATCTATAAATTCACACATGATAACCGAAAGAGTAGTGGTTAAAAGAGACCGATTTTGCATGATGATGTATTTCTACATCACTGTTTTAAATACAATTTTTCGTAAAATTATTGCAGTTTCGACCAAACTATGATTATAATTTAATACACTTACCTTAGTTCTTTGTAGAAATCAATTTTTTATATAATTTCTTTTATATTTATTCTCAAAACACGAATTCCAAAAACTTGCGAAAACGAAGTGATGCAAAAGGCGGGAACAGTGAAAAACAAATGACAATAAAAAAATAAAACTTGTCAAAACTTTTATGATTCGTTCAGAAGTCAACTAATAATGTTGCTAGTGTATAAATGTGTTGGAAATATTTTGGTAGTTTTTAACATAAAAGAGAAAATGTTGCCAAAACAAAGAATGTATATCTACATCACTATGCATTAAAGGGTTAAAAGTTCCAGGAGAAGGATGTGGCTGTGTGGAGCTAGTATGTGGAACAACTGTACCTGCAGGAGAAGACGACTATCCCCAGGTTTGAAACTGATGCAGATCTAAGAGGCAAGTTTGGATCCAAAATTTCTTGAAGTTCAGCATTACTTGGCGGTATGAAAATAGTTTCGGTATCGTTCTCGTCACTTTCGTTATCGTCTTCAGAGTGTTCACCATCCGACAATGCGAACAGGTCTTCCAGAACGTCTTCCAGTTTATCTAATTGAAATCGTCTGTATGAATAATTGGAATCGCCTGAAATAGAAACACATAGTTACAAAAAAAAAACAAAATTATAAATCTGAACCATGAAAAATTACCATGACCTACGCGGGCAATGTCCAGAATATGGACGTCATAGTTTTTTGTTTCTTACAAGACATGTGATCCAAATTCTCAAAAAATCGGAGCTTTTACCCCATATTTACAACATTTGGAATGATACGTAAAAGAAAACTTACCTTTTGGTTTATTGCTTTTAAAGATTTTCTTAGATTTATAAACAACACTCCAAAATCATCAATTTTTGACATAAGATCGATCACCTGATAAAAGTAGGCCATGTTAGTATTTTTTTTACGTTTTATTAACAATATCTAGAGGCTCAACTAAAGAGCCAAAAGTGACATTTGTCTAACGTTTAGTTTAGTCGCGAAAATTGAAAATGTATGGTGTCCGATATTTAGGCAGAGTCACATAAAGGGTTAAGTTATAACATGTTAATTCAAAATCCAAATTGTGAAATATAAAATCATTTTTCAAAAAACACTATACGACACCGTGGCTCAGTGGCTTAGCAATGAGTGGCTGCGTTGGGGGTCGCGGGTTCAAATCCCGCACGGAACAAGTATTTGTATGGCCTACAAATAGTTGTTCCGGGTCTGGATGTTTGTCCTTGTGCAATTTATGTTTGTAAACTGCCACTACGATACAAGAGAAAATCTTAGTGTAGCGGTAACGTTTTTAAATAAAAAAAAAAACAAAAAAAAAATACATGCATATAAAATGTCAAAATTTAACAAAGACTTTATCAAATACCAAACGTTGACTAGAAAAAATAGTGGGAATAAGTCTTCCCTTATACCATTTTACAAGTTACCGGCGCACTCAACTAAAAGATAATAAATTGAAAACATACTTTTAAACCGTCAATACATTCTGAAAAAGAAAAACTAAATGTTGCAGTATCGATATATTTTTATTAACTTTTGCGTAGTCACCACAAATACGTATTTTATTATTTTTATAAACAATTACAATTGGTGAAACAAAGTCAGTAGGTTCTTCTATTGGAATAATAATGCCTAGCCGCTCTAATCTCAAGCTCTTCTTAAAGGATATATCTGTTTCCAATAGTGCACCATGTTCCAGAAAAATGTCAAAAGATGTTTATGACCTTTTAAAAAAAACTTTAAGAACGTCTGCTACCCCTACAAATAAATTAAAAGAGAACTTACAAATAAATTTCCTTGTAAACATAACATAACAAGTTTACTGATGATTTTTTTTATCGTCTGGAAAAAATAAAGTGTAACAGGTAAACTGAGTAGAAGCCTATGATACTGATATTTTACAATTTTTTTTAATTCATTAACATATTATGAAATTGATATATCAATAAATACTACTAATTGCTAATAAATAATTTGAAGTAAACATTCCATACTAAAAAATATAAATAAAAACATTGAACTAAATAAATAACAATCGAAATTCAAACCACACGCACTCTTCTTTACAAGCGGCAATAAAATAATGAGTTTGTAACGCACTCACCGCACCAAACAAAGGACAAGTACAAAGGACCTTGTCCATTCGAAGGATCGCAGGCGCAAGAACAAGGCCGCCCGCCGCAGGTAGCCTGCTCTCTCATTTCGGTCAGATATGAATAGCTACGGCGTGACGTCGTATAAATTGCTTATGTTTCCGCGTGTGTATCGCCGCCCGCTGATAGTTATTGTAAACATGTACCAATACTCTAATGTTAAATACCTAGGTACCTAACAATGGTGAGATTTTTTTTAATCAAGTCATCTTTTTTATTTAATATAATCACATTTATTTCATACTAATTTTACAGATTTGATTTAAACTGATTTAAAAACTAATTTTACATAATACATACTTAAACATCATAAAATATCACCGCAACAAACAAAGTACAAATACAAATGTCCTTGTCCATTCGCAGGATCGCAGACATAAGGGCAACTGGCAGAGAGAGAGGGCCTCTTCAGCTCCTATCTCAGCTGCTATCAGCCTTCGGTATCTTTTCCTTGCTGCCCCACTAAGCTTACAAGGCCTGGCGAACTTTCTCTTTTCCCCTCCCAGGTTCGTTTCCGATTGTGGTTCGGTTGCAGACGAGCCCTCCACTTCCCAGGTTGGGGCGCAATGTTGCAGAGTATTGGTGAGGCTAAAAGAGCCTCTTACAAGATTTTTCAAAATGTCGGTTTTCGTCCATTTTGTTCCCACGATTAGCTAGGAAAATACTCGGTCACCCCTGGCACCCCGCATGCCGAGGGAAAGACTAAAATACTACCCGAATCGCCCTGGTCTCGGGGAAGGCACCGTTTGAGACTGGACTCCCTCCAGCAACGCATCTATCGGCACGGTACGCTTGACACCTAGGATTGGGTCAGGATAGGAAAAGGGGTTTGATAAAAGAAAAGAAAAAGAGGATCGGCCGAGTGTTTCTGTTCTGTCTGTTTTCTATTGAACCAGACCAAATAACAGGCGGCAACCACGTGAAGGAGAGCTCCTCAGACTTGCTTTGGAGGACCTGCGCTCTCCCCCAGAGCCATACGCCAAACTGCTCGCCGGACAGGAGAGCAGAATAGGTGTTAATCTAGTCCTATTGATAGTATCAAAAAGTTAGGAGTAGATTAACCCCCGCCCTTCGTACTGTTTACTTACCGATGAAACGTTATGTCATCCATTTTGTAACTAGATGTCTTAGAATGTTTCCCACACGAGTTCACCGCCCATGAAGGCATTTTGATGCTTTCTATTTTCATAAAATGTTTCAATAATTTGTATGAATTTAGCATGCACACAGGTCTAACACTTGGACACTACTAAAATGATTATTACTACTACTGTTACTACTAGTCCGTAGCCCATACATCATAGGCAACTAAATGCTAATAGTTTTCGAGTGTCCGGGCACCGCATGCGCAGTAGTGATTATATAGTCTATTTGTACCAGGCAATCAACGAAGCGGTAGGTTTAAAACACAGTCGAGACTGCGCTTAAACTAAGGCCTACCTTAATTTGTAATTATCAAGAGATATGTTCAAAACTGTTTTGTCCTGTGTAACTTTATTTCAAGCTATTTCTAGTGCTTAACTCTGGTACTGTCAGCGTTTATATGTGTTTAACACCGCATATGGTATTATAAATATTTGCGAAGTTCTTTGAAGGCTTTACGTAGTCCGAAAATATGTATACGTTAGGGGCGGGGTCTTACAGAAATAAAAGTGTATTTTTTTTATTATGTGCGAGCAGCTATGCAGGTCTAGGTAAAGAGACCAATATCACTGCGACCTATAAGATCTATTGTGATCGCTGCTATGGCTATAGTTCACTGCTAAGCCCTATGTCTTCAATGAATCGAAGGAGTTGCTTAACCGTGAGCAATTTCACTTCTTCTGGGCGGAGTAGATAGTGTCCCAGATGAGTGTTACGTTTACGCATTAAGGGTCCGCAAACGGTTAGGATGTGTAGAGGTGTTTCTTCCGTTACGGAACAGAACCGACACATCCTTGAGTTGCTTAGTCCCAGGATGGACATGTGCTTTTTAAGACAACAGTGTCCAGTTAGGGCTCTCGCCAGAATGCGCAATTTATTTTTACTTAATCCCAGGGCTTCTGAAGCGAATTTACGATCAAAAGCCAGGATTAAGGTTTTAGAATGTTTTAAGCCTGGTGTATCAGACCAGATTTTAAGTGATTTATTGTGATAAAGAGTTTCAAGGCTTTAATCAAAGTTCAATCGGGCTAGGCTTCTTGAGATTCCACAAAATGGCTCGGGTACCAAATTGTGTGCACTTTGAGCCCTCCCGTGCAAGTTTGTCGGCAAATTCGTTGCCTACAATACCCTCGTGACCCGGAACCCATATTAAAACGACCCTGTTTTTACAACCCAGGGCGTTTAAACGGTTCACGCAGTCTCCAACTAGATATGAGTTCACTAAGTTTGATCTCAGCGCTAGGAGTGCTGCTTGACTATCAGAGTTTATGTAAATTTTTTGGTTGACGTAGTGTTTTTGCAGATTGATTTCTGCACACCGAAGTATGGCGAAAATTTCTGCCTGGAAAATAGAGGTGTATCTACCCAAATTTATACTTAGTTTGAATTTGGGGCGTTCCCCGTAAATTCCAAAGCCTACGTCGAGGCCCATTTTAGACCCATCGGTATACCATATGAGGCTACCGACCTCACAGATAACCTGGCCATTCAGCCAGTCTTCTCTGGAGGTAATTCCACTATATACTTTTTTATCAAAAGTGTATAGTGGACGCATGATATCTGAGATCATGCATAAGACCGGTGATTCCTTAATTAAGTCGAGCATGGATCTCAATCTGTAGGAGAGCAAGCTCAGACCGCCCTGGGCGTTAATCCTATACAAACTAGCCCTCGCCTCGAGATAGAGATCAAGGGGCGTTAGGCATAGAAGTGTATTAAGAGCCGCTCCAAGCGATGATCACATAGCTCCAGTTGCCATTAAACAGGCAGTCCTTTGTAGACTATTTAGTCTATCCGCAGTCGTCTTTTGGTTGGCCTTGTTACACCAGACAATAGAGGCGTAGGTGAGAATCGGCCTCACTATGCTGCTGTACAGCCATAGGACCATACTGGGACGCAAGCCCCAGTTGTTCCCGACCAAACGACTGCACGTACCTAAAGCAATTTTTGCCTTATGGCGTACGTTGCTAAGGTGAGAGTTCCACGTTAGTTTTTGGTCGATTGTTACGCCCAAGTACTTAACTTCGTGGAAAATGGTACTTCTTTACCATTAAGTTTTGGTTGGACCAATTTGTCCAACCGTCTCTTTTTGGTAAAGGGTATTATAACAGTTTTATCAGCATTAATTGATAAACTGTTATCCCTACACCAGTTATTTATGGTGTTTAGGGCTCTTTGTATTATTGACGATAAAGTACTTTGGCAAAAGCCCCTTGCAATGATCACAAGGTTATCAGCATAACCCAATGTGTCAATGCGTATGTCTGCCATTTTGTACAATAGTTGGTCAACCGCAAGAGTCCAAAGAAGGGGTGACAAAACACCTCCTTGTGGGCAGCCTCTTGTGATTGCAACCTCAATAGAAGTTTGAAACAGCGCTATTTTTGCCTTTCTGTTTGAGAGCATCGATTTCACCCATCTGATGGTTGTGGGGTCAACATTTTTAGATGTTAGGCCCCCAATCAGCAGTGATGTGGGGCTACTGTCGAAGGCGCCCTCAATATCTAGAAAGGCACTATTTCTTTATCCTCCAGTGCTTTTTCGACCCTGTCAATGACACTGATCGGGGCTGTTTCCGTAGATTTGCCTCTGCGGTAAGCATGCTGGTTGTAATGTATGGGCCTCGTAGCTAGAGCTACATCCCTTATATATCTATCTATAACCTTTTCCAATGTCTTAAGAAGAAAGGAAGATAGGCTTATAGGTCTAAAGGACTTTGATAAAGCGTAGTCCTTTCTACCAGCCTTAGGTATAAATAGAACCTTGACAATTGTCCATCGTTCTGGAATATATCCCCATGCAAAACTTGCTCTGAAGATTTTCACCAGATAAGGAAGAAGGATGTTGATACCCCTCTGTGGTTGGATGAGAAATATTCCACACTCCCCGCTTGATTTAAATGGTTCAAAGGAGTCAACAGCCCACTGCACCAGGTTTGGCCTTATTATCTTTGCAGCCCTACGCTAGTCCTCATTGCAAGGCTTTCGTAGGGCTCTGAAAGAGTTCAAGTCTGAAGTCTTGTATGACCCTGGGAAATGGGTTGACACTAGTAACTCCAATGTTTCTGTTTCACTATTAGTGAAGTTACCATCCGGCTTTTTAAGAAGCCCGATCTGATTAGGTTTAGCTTTCGATAGCATCTTGTGTAGTCTTGCACTGCGAGGCAAAGACTCAACTTCCTCGCATAGCTTCCTCCACGATGCTCTCTTGGCTTTCCTAATTTCTTTATTATATTCAGTTAGGGTTGCACGATAAATATCCCACTCTTTGGTTTTCTTAGCATAAAATATATATAATAATAAAAGTGTAACAAGTGTGCGTGACTCACGCGCTGCATTGCTGTTAGTGAGCGTAGACCTCTCCGCACCCGACTTATCGTTGCTGGTTCTGTTAGAATATGGCAATGTAATTTCACCTTAATTTAATTTTTGGTGTTGGTAACCCTGTCTCCTTCTTCAATATAAGTTGTCATGGTGTGCACAAGGTGTTCAAATAAAAACCATTTACGTTTATAAAACTGCGTTATTTATTTTATTACAACAGGTTATGGGCCCAGGCACATGACCCAAAAGTAATAAAATAAAAAGTGAGGAACTTACCGTGAAAATAACATTCGCGTTACACGTGCGGCTTGAAAGTGAGGTTAAGTTTGCACGGCAATGTGGAGATAGTAAAAAGTTACTTTTCGACGTCGATCGATCGACAGGATAGCGAAATGGAAGTCAATCTAAACACAAATAACAGCTTGATGAAGCTGGAAGGAGCTAACAACTGGAACATCTGGAAGTTCCAAACTACAGTTTTGCTACGAGGTCAAGGCTGGTTGGATATTGTCGAAGGAAGAACTTTAAAACCCGAAGATCCCACTGAACAAACCGCTTGGGAGAATAAAGACGCGAAGGCACAAACGCTATTAGTCACAAGAATGACAGAAAATGTAATGTTACATATTATTTCGTGTTCTACTTCATCTGAAATGTAGAAAAAGCTGCAAAGTGTTTATGAGCAAAAAGCAGAAACAAACATCCATATAATTCAACAGCGCTTCTTTCAATATAAGTTTGAAACAGGTATTAAAATGTCAATATTCTTATCAAAAATCCAGGAATTACAAAATCAGCTTAAACAAATGGGAGAAGAAGTTTCTGACAAGTTTGTGATAACTAAAGTATTAATGTCATTACCAGATGAGTATAAGCATTTTGTGTCGGCTTGGAAGTCAGCCCCGGACAATAAACAAACAATGAACAATTTAGTTGCTAGATTACTGGTAGAAGAAGAAAGGCTGAAAGAGAAAAATAGACAATGTTCACCTTCAAGCTCATCTGCATTTCTGGTTAAGGATAAGAAGAATATAAAATGTTTTAAATGCAATAAAATGGGACATTACCTCAGTGAGTGTAAAAGTAACGTGAAAAGTGAAGGACAGAATAACAAGTGTTTTTATTGTGGCAAGAGTGGACATAACAAGTCACAGTGCTGGATTAAGAATAACAAAGAACGTAAGAATAGTAACAATAAAAGTAACGCATTCGTGGTGTCAAACTCATTAAAAGAATATTGTCAGTCTCAGTGGTTAGTGGAATTTACATCATTTACCGACATTGAACAAGAGTCTGTTATTGTCGGTAATGGAGCGGCGATTAGTGTTCTAGGCTACGGACAGATGGTAGTAGAGGTGTATGACGGTACTTAGTGGGTACAGACAACTATAGACAAAGTTCTGTTCGTGCCGGAATTGAAAACAAACCTATTCTCCGTAAACTGTGCGTCGTTGCTGAGTTGGAAGTTCATATTTTTTGGTGTTACGCTATAAAAACAAAGTGGCTAATGTGGCTAAGAAAGTTGAAAGTACATTGCAAGAGTGGCACGAAAGATTAGCACACCAAAACATTGATTATGTAAGAAAGGTACTGTTGAAAAATAACATTGACGTGAAACAAACTTCGGCTAAAATGTGAGAACTGTCTAGAAGGGAAAATACATAGATTGCCGTTTGGGAAGAGTGAAAAAGTTACCACAAAAACGTGTGAATTAATCCACGCAGATACCTGCGGCCCTATGGAGGTTACGTCAGTTGGCGGTTCAAGGTACTTTGTAATATTGAAAGATGACTTCTCCAACTATAGATCGGTGTATTTTGTCAAGAATAAGTCTGATATAAAGTACTCTATTGAAGATTTCGTTAACAAGGCCGAAAATGTGACTGGAAATAAGGTAAAAATCTTCAGAACTGATAATGGTCTTGAGTTTATAAATAAGGAGGTTAAAGATATCTTTACTAAACGCGGAATAATACATCAAACAAGTGTCCCCTACACCCCAGAGCAGAACGGAAAAGCAGAACGAGAGAATCGGACGCTAGTCGAATCCGCTCGCACAATGCTGAATGTATGCAAGGATTTACCAAAATCATTGTGGGCTGAGGCTGTAAACACAGCAGCATTTGTCTTGAACAGGACCGGAAAAAGTAAAGACAGTGAAAAATCGCCATATGAGGTGTGGTTTGGAAAAGACTTTGACATTCATCAATTAAAACCATTTGGGACACCAGTGTATGCACACATTCCTAAAGAAAAGTGAAAGAAATGGGATAGCAAAGGAGAAAAAGGAGTAATGGTTGGTTATGGCGAAACTGTTAAAGAATATAGAATATACTTCTCACATGGGAATGATGTAGAACTCAAACGAGATGTAGTTTTCTTAGAAAAAGAACAAAACTATAGCGAAATCGAGGTAAAATTGAACTATACGGAAGAAAATAATGACAAAAGTAATGAGTTGCATAATGAATCGGAAACTACATCAGCGAATCTCGATGAAACTATGGTGATGTTGAGTATGTCTGAAGAGTCTGGATCTGAATACAGTCCAAGTGAAGCAAATAACAGCTCAGTCGAACCAATTGATGAGGTCTGCCAAAGAGAACCCAGCAAACGAATTAGGAAGCCACCTGTTTACTATCATTGCCAAAATGTGCATACTGAACAATGTGAACCTGTCACTTATGGTGAGGCAATGATGAAAAGTGACAGCAGCAAATGGAAGGAGGCAATAGATAGAGAGATGCAAATACTAGAAGAAAATAATACTTGGGAAATATGTGATGTACCAGAAAATGAAAAGCTTGTGAGTGGTAAGTGGGTATTTAAAATTAAAAGGGGAGATTCAGATTTTCCTCAATATAAAGCTAGATTGGTAGCGAGAGGGTTTGAACAGGATGATATTTTAGACTTAAATGACTGTTATGCTCCAGTTGCAAAATTGTTAACTGTTAGGTTATTTGTAGCAATAGCAACTAAACTTAGTTTACCTATAATTCAAATGGATGTAACAGGGGCATTTCTGTATGGAAATATTAATGAAAATGTTTATGTAAAGTTGCCTGAAGGAGCTTACATAGGTAATAATATTGTAAAATTAAATAAAGCACTTTACGGTCTCAAAAATGCACCTAAGTGCTGGAATATTAAATTCAACGCTGTTATCCTTAAAGAATGTTTTGTTAGATCTAATTGTGACTCTTGTCTTTATAGAAAGTGTACGGATAGTGATCAAATTTATTTACTATTGTATGTTGACGATGTCTTAATATTTGGAACAAGTGATAACTCAGTAAAGCAGGTAAAAAATTTATTATGTAAGGAATTTAAAATGAAAGACTTAGGATATGTAAGGGATTACTTAGGCACAAATATAATACAAAATTTAGACACAAAAGTTACTGAACTGAGCCAAAGAAAATATTTAGAGAATGTCCTCAAAAGATTTAAAATGGAAAATTGTAAACCAATGTCTACAAAATATTAACCTAAAGCTTTTTCAAAACCAAAACAATACAGTAGATAAAGATATTGAAAAGTCATGTCGACAGATGATAGGATGTCTAATGTATGCTGTATCTGGCACTAGGCCAGACTTATGTTTTACTGTCTCTTTATTAAGTAGATATCAAAAATGTTATTAATTGCATTAAAAAGAGTAATGCGTTATGTCAAACATACTTTAGACTATAAGTTACTTTATAAATGTACAGATAATGTTTTGGAGGGATATTGTGATGCAGATTGGGGAGGAGATTTCAATGATAGAAAATCAACTACAGGCTACTTATTCAAATTCTCTAACTGTCTAATTTCATGGAGCTCAAAGAAACAAGTCTCTGTTAGCTTATCTTTTACAGAGTCTGAATATATTGCCATTAGTATGGCAGCCAGTGAAGCCTGTTGGCTTGTTAATTTGTTACAAGATTTCAAAATAAATAATATATGTCCTATACACATCTATTGTGATAATCAATCAGCCGTATCTGCTGCCTGTACTGATACTATCAAACGATTAAAACATGTTGATATCCGTTACCATTTTATAAAAGAATTAATTAAAAATAAAACTATATGTTTAAAATATGTTATAACAAATGATCAACCTGCTGACATGCTTACAAAATCTTTAAGTAGAGAATTGATAAATCGTTTCTTAAAAAAATGTGGTATAGGTAACATTGATAAAATTTAGTACTTACATATTTGTTTTATAAATCAGTTTATTTCGGTGCAATTACATTGAGTGTTAGAATATGGCAATGTAATTTCACCTTAATTTAATTTTTGGTGTTGGTAACCCTGTCCTTCTTCAATATAAATTGTCATGGTGTGCACAAGGTGTTCAAATAAAAACCATTTACGTTTATAAAACTGCGTTATTTATTTTATTACAAAAGGTTCACCCACTCTTAGCACCTCTCAATAATATTTTGTAATAAATTTCGCTTATTAAAATAAGAGGAAAATAATATAATTTAACTTAAATACACGTCTGTACTACTCAGAGATTTGAGAGGAGGGGTAATTAAGGCTCAACAATACTTCATCTTTCGATGGGAAAGGACTATGAACAAATCAATAGGAGCAACAATGACCTAAGGCAAATTTCGTCTTACTTAAAATATTTAGAATTTACTGTCCTGTAAAATTTAAAAATTCATTTAAAGTTTGGCGTTTTGGGATTAATTGTTCATTACATTGTACATTGTAGGGTGGGCCAGAATTAAGTTCACTTTTGAAACCTATATAAAAAGACTGATAATACTTAGAAAGTTCTCTCTTTTTGTATGATCGTAATGGGAAAGCATTGCTATTAGCTTTTCACTAGGAACTTCATGATCATCACATAAGCTAAGCCAGATCAGTGTTCTTTTATATACTTATCTGTATGTTATCAGATTAACATGTCAGTTATTTGGGATTATGTGAAAGCAATTTATTTAGATACAAAGCTATAAGTACTCATGACAAATGTCAATAAATATAAAAACACATGAAAATATAGTTTAATACAACCCATGCTATTTTATTGCTATGTGCTTTTATAATCTCATTAGAAACACCGTTCTAATGAGATTATAAAGTTAAAGTAAATTACTTATTTACAATTATTTTATAAACATATTTAGAAATAATAGGTTGTTTACCTTTTCTGTTACCGATTTGTTGCTGTATTGGTTTCTGGTGATATGATACAGGTTGCGAAGAAAATAAAAAAGAAGTATAAGTAGGTAAGTGTTTATTGTTTTATTCTTCAATCACAAGTAATATATTATCTAAATATGATGCTGGTCTCGATATATTCGTCTCATGTCTAGCTCAACCCAAATACTATATTATGGCCATGACGTGGCAACGGCATCCCACTGTTCTGTTACCTATGAGACAGTTGCAACAGTAACCTAATATTACATCTAAGTATTTATTATTAGATGGTGCATCAATTAAAATATATGTAAAATATTTACGGCGACCAACATGGCGCGACTGAGTTCGACCCCTTAATAAGTAAGGTCTATTTCCTCCAACGGCTGCAACCATTTCTTCAGAGTGTTCAAGTTCGGGACATACTTCTATTTCATATAAACCATTTTGTCGAACATGTTCGCCATAATACGATTGTGCTTGTTTGACCTGATATGGGCCCAAAGCGAAAAGAAATTAAATCGGAGTAACTAAATACGGGAAATATAGTGTCTCAGAATCTTTCGTTTTTAGATGTTAAATAAAAAACAACAATATCAATTAAAACTTGTTTTATTTATGGTTTATTTAAAGAGTAATTCTTGAAGTTTATTTATGAAAAACCACCGTTTGCAAATGCGCACTATTCACTTGTTCACAATTATTTAACCTGGAGCTAAAATTTTCAATCACTCGCTGGAGCATCGCTCTTGGAATAGAGTTGATTTCTTCAGTGATTCTTTGCTTCAAAACATTCAGGTTGGGTGACAATGGATTGTAAGCTTTACTTTTCAGGTAGCCCCATAGGAAGAAATCAGCAGGCGTTAAATCAGGGCTCCGCGGTGGCCAGTTGATGTCTCCTCGGCGACTTAAGGAGTCCGCACACTAATGGGAACGGAAAGGGATCGTAACCGTATCGCCTTTCACCTCGCTGTCAACCAGGCGTCAACCTACCGTATGCACGTAACGAAAGCGTATCAGCAGCGCCTGTACGTCAACTCGGCTACGGCTAGGCGGACACCGCGCTTACGCCTCGCCGCCCGCTGGCTGACCTGGTTGGCACCAGATCAGTTTGAATCCAAACGTTAAGTGTAGCGCACGGTTATGTCTTGGTTTACAATACGTGAGTTGGCTATCATAGCCATAGTACTTGATGAAGAGGAAAAAGAAAATAGCAAGAAAAAAAGGAAAAGATATTGGGTACACAATATGAATAAAGCAAGGAGTACTGAAGGGGAATTTCGAACTATAAAAAAACATTTGATGGATGATGAAGAGAAATTTTATATTTATTTTCATATGCCGAAATTTCTCTTTTATAACATATTGCAGTCTATAGATGAATGTATAAGGAAGAAGAATACAACATTCAGAGAAACAATATCGCCCGAAGAAAAACTAGCTGTAACGTTAAGGTGAGAAATTGCATTTGTTCTTGGAATTTTTAATCTGGTCTACAAAAATATTTGTACAGACGCCAGCTTTTCCCAATCAACTTTGAACCTAATGCTTTAGCGATAAAGTTGAAAATCTATTAAAGAATTTTGACAGATTGTAGTAGGTTGATGTGCTGGCGTCTGTAGTGTACAAAATAAAACTCGGTTCCGAAACTCCGAGATAGATTAATTTTTACCCTCTGTCGATAAAATTATTTGTTTTGGAACGCAACCCTCATTAGCGATCAGGTGTGTACGGGGGATGTACGTGTTATGTCTGATGTGTGTGTGTATATTTTGTGTGTGTGCGTAAGAATAGAATAGAATATACTTTATTGTACACCAAAATTATATCAACTATTTTACAATATTCAAAACGTATGGGTTAGTAACTGCAACTTTTTTTAGTTTAGGTAAAAAAAAATACTCATAAATCACATATTTTTTTATCATTCTAAAAAATTGTTACGAGCTTGAGGTTCGTGACAATAAAAATTGCCGATAAAATTACCTAAATTAACACTTTAATTTACTTTACACAAATTAAAACTAAAAACACTAATAATTAAACACACTAATTCACTTAATTCCGCTCCGAAGCTTCGCTTGCGTCGCCGAATCAACACTGTCCCGATCGCATCTTGCAGCGCCTATATATTTAAATTAGCAAAGAAATACCAGAATGTCAAGTAAACACGCGAAGGTACCGAGCGTTCAGTTTCATAGGCCTTCTTAATTTGTGATGTCAATTACTGCAAAGCTCCCCTCGCTCTCGTTCCTGACACTAGATGGCGCTAGTTGACTTATTCATGCAACAATATCATAAAATCAAAAAATTATGGCAATTTAACAAAAATAGCGCTACAACAAAAATACAATCATTGTATAAATTAAAGAATGTTTGAAGTATTAAGATCGTTAGCATTTGACGTGCCATTTTCTTCTAAGTTTGACATATTAAAATCATCAATGTTTGAAGCGCCAGATGTTGATTGTATCTCGTGGCTAATGTTATTTAGAGTGATATAACCTCGAGGAATGTCATCTTCTCTTTGGGGAATGTA